TTGATGTTAATAACACCTTTAGAGGGCGGCAGTGAGTAATGTTTGTTTATTCTGTGTTTGTTAATAACACCTTTAGAGGGCAGCGGTGAGTAACGTTTGTTTATTTGATGTTTGTTAACACCTTTAGAGGGCGGCAGTAAGTAACATCAATTATTTATTTGCCAATTAATCATCACCCAAAATTTCAAAATCATGATCGGTTTACTGAATATTGATATATAGCAACAAAAACAAAGACAATATATTGAATAAATGAGAAAAAGAAATAAAAAGTTTGCGCTGTTTCTAAAACCCAACTCTGCAGTGCAGTGCTGAGAGCTCTGTAATACACGCTGACAAAGCAGTAAACATTCACATAACAGAGCAAACACGAATAAAATCAACAAAAAGGAGGGGATTTCTATGATCTCTGAGCGACTACTAAGAGCAGGGAAACAGACTCAAGCACAGTGCCTCGTGAAAATCTGCAGCTGATCACAGCCGGGGACTGCAGTGGAAGGCAGAAAGTGTTTCTTGGCACACAGGGCTAATGGGTAGTGGAACAGTGGACTACAGCCACATTACATATGTCACAGTCCTGCCAGGGTGTGTTCAGTCATCAATTAGAATCAGCACTGCATAACATGAACACACTATCATACTGCAACTGTACTGCTATACACTGTATTGTTACATACTGAAACATATTTATACAACATAAAACTTGACATGAGGTTTTTGATTTTGACCAAAATGATTTATTGGTCATTAGCAACAATTTGTCAAACGATGTGACTGCCTGGATTCATCCAAACTCCCAAAGAACATCTGTGATTAGTTATTGGTAGAGTCTGACTGATACACCGGCTGGCCTATATCAGCCAATGCTGACAGAATGCAGATTTAACAGCATCAGTAAAAATACTGGAGTAACGTGGTGATATGAGCCTTTTATTTTTGGTATAGCACTGTAGAGAATCGTACTCATGATCTCCCAATGATACAGAGAATCCTTTAGCACAAGGATATACATAACACACATAGCAAAACCTGCTCTGTGATGAAAAACAAGGGAAAAAAGACAGAATTAACAGAAACAAAACTACTCTGGCTAAAGAACTCTGCCTCCAGTGCCACAATATTGTCTATAGGCAATGTGAATCAGAAGTCATATCATGTGTTGTGGCAAATTACCAAATAAAACACAGTATGACGGAGGGTCTCTGAGCTAGCCGAGGATTTTCCCTCCATAATGGGGGTTGGGACTGTAGAGTTTTGGCAAAGCTAATTTAGACAGAGTAGTTAGCAGGTCAAATGTACCTTACAGCACAGGCTTCGTTCCAGTTAACCGATGCTGATATTACTATGATTGTGCCCTGTTGTGGCTCCACAGAAGGATTAGATTTTTAAGTAAAAGTAAAATAATCCTCCTTTGCAGTAAAATAAAGCTCTGCTGATCTTTCAATACAGATTTACCAATAGATGGTCTTAAATGCTGGAGTTAATGTAGAACTTCTAATTCACCCTTTAACCCTGAAGGTTGGTGCGCAGACTGCTGGTCACCATAGCAACACAGACAGCAATCTCACCTAGCTATCAGTTAACGAAACGGCAAAGAGAAACATTCAGGATGAACATGGATGATCAGGAGACAACTGGACTTATTTGCATTCATAATCAATCCAGTTGGTTTCCTGATACGTTTATTCTGAAACAAGAAACTGTCAAACACTAATAAGTCAGCTTCTCGTTCAGCAGCTACTTGTTCAAAATTCTGCGCTATAGCTGAGCTCAAGCTTAAAGCAGAGCAAAGTGTGTCTGTGTTTTTGTTTATATTCTATTTTTTAGCCTTTACTTGTACATCAGCACATACCGAGACATATTCACAGCCAAGATGGCGAAACGTTACTTCAATGAAATGGACATGAAATGTTGTGGCTCCCAAAGTGGTTAGATTTTTGTTGAAACTTGACAAAATGGCTCTTCCTAACATTTGGGTTGCCGATCCCTGATTTAGTGGATATCTGAGAAAGCAAAGTCCAGTGACTGGTGTCAGACAAAGCTGAAATCAAACGTGTCGAGCAGTAAGTGTAGCTCTTAGCTGTCGTTGAGCCACTAACAAGCTTAGTTTTTCTGAAATTTGACACAGTTTTGAAATATCGGCTTCACTTATCAATACTGCAGTATAACTCATTAAGTTTTACCACCCAAGCTCACGTTTTTGTGCTTATGAGTACATTACTATGTTTTTCTCTGCATGTCAGAGGAAGAGAGTGGGCAGTTATGTGTGTGTGTGTGTGGTAGCTGTCAACAGCTCTGTGTTTCTCTCTCTCTCTCGTTGGCCCACTGTCTCACATTATTAATGAGGTCCAGCTCAGATCTGACCCCAACCACGCACACACAGGTTTATAAAACCAGGACGGATCACACACTGGAGAATAATGTGGTGAACACAGGAACTAAACACGGTCACACACTGGAGCCGCAAACACTATTCAGCCAAACTAAACACTGAAACAGGAAAGGAGGAAAAACCCAACTACTAAAAGAGCGAATGAAAGGGGAGAGCAACATTTCCCAACCAGCCCAACATGTTAAAAAACCTCTTAGAATAACAAAATGCTTTCATTTGTTTAATGAGCTTTAGTGAATGTTTGCTTTTCATAACTGAAGGAAGAAAACTCTCCTGCACTTTTCTCTAATGAGTTTGTGGTCTAACGGCAGTAAGGAAGGAGGTTTGTGCAGGTTGCAGTAACAGCACCTGGTTTTCTTTAGATGTGTAAAGTAAGGTCAGACTGAACATCTCGAACACAGCGCAACACTGACACCACACATGACAACCTTGAGACTTCAGAAATGAAGAGATTTTCAGAATCCGAGCAAGAGGTCTGGGGTTCTTTCCAAAAGTTTAGATAGTTTAGTTCTATTAAAGCTGGGTTAATTTTACCCAAGAAAATAATTGTGGACTGATTTTAATCCAGTATGAATCTGCAGTGTGTGTAGTTTTACAGTCTGACGGTAATAATTGTGGAGTGATTTTAATCCAGTATGAATCTGCAGTGTGTGTAGTTTTACAGTCTGACAGTAATAATTGTGGAGTGATTTTAATCCAGTATGAATCTGCAGTGTGTAGTTTTACAGTCTGACGGTAATAATTGTGGAGTGATTTTAATCCAGTATGAATCTGCAGTGTGTGTAGTTTTACAGTCTGACAGTAATAATTGTGATAATTGTGGAGTGATTTTAATCCAGTATGAATCTGCAGTGTGTAGTTTTACAGTTTGACAGTAATAATTGTGGTGTGATTTTAATCCAGTATGAATCTGCAGTGTGTAGTTTTACAGTTTGACAGTAATAATTGTGGAGCGATTTTAATCCAGTATGAATCTGCAGTGTGTGTAGTTTTACAGTCTGACAGTAATAATTGTGAAGTGATTTTAATCCAGTATGAATCTGCAGTGTGTGTAGTTTTACAGTCTGACGGTAATAATTGTGGAGTGATTTTAATCCAGTATGAATCTGCAGTAGCTAATACAAATTATTCAGCAGCCCAGAGAGTTTAAAGGGGTTTAAGTAATTTTCCTGCAACAAATTCACTGTTACTTGCCTACTTCCAGGCAGGAGGTTGTGATGACAAAAAAAAAGGGAGAAAAACATTAAAAACAAGAAAAGTGCAATAGAATTATATCCCCAAGAAAATGCTCGTAGAGGGTAATGAAAATGAGGATTTTCCCAGGAGCACCAGAAAAAACGGTAAATTTGGACAGCACTAGAATGACATCACCTTACTCCACCCTTAGATCAGATTTAAGGGAAAACAATGCAATTACTCAATTCAGTGACCATAAAAAACTGACCTCAGCATTGTTGCAAACAAAAAACTACAACTTGGCTCATGTGGTGTTTAACTGCTAGCGGCACTAAAGCTGTGTAGCAAAACGAGCTGCTTTCGACTGTAATGCTGGCTGATCACTGCACCGCAGCGATTAGAGCTCATGCAAACTACATGTTGAAATCATTGTGGAACACTTACCTAATAATGAGTCAGCCGGCTCTGATCTAGCATGGCAAACGATGGTGAACAATTTTTAAAGCTTAAAAAAAAAAATGCTTAAAGTCCCAGAAAGGGAAAAGAGAGTAGGGGAAAAAGGGAAGGATGCAGGCTGTCACTACAATTCAGCAATAATATGAAAATGACAAGTTTACAAGTTTACATTACACTCTCCCTATGCAGTTCACTAAAGAAAGAACAGCAACGGGACGAAGTAAGTTTAAAGTGCTGCCAACGAGAAGCGAAATTCCACTGTGATTACACCTCATAGCCTGTTAGCACGCCATGCTCTCATCTAAGGCTTGGTTTATTTACTTCAAATGAAGTCATGGCAAATTCAGTTAGCAAGGAGAAAAAGGGGGGAAAAATAATAAACATAGTAACGTGGGCACACAAAAACAAACGCACTTACTATTACAGAGCACTGAAACGTTCAGGAACAAATTCCAGGATGCTTTGGAAGAATACAACCGGAACTTTCCGCGCAAGTGCTAATCTACATTTACATTAGTGCGCCACTCTCTGTGACACTGCTGATGAAAGCCATCGAAATGTTTAGCAGCCAAATTCATTAATGCATACGGCAGCAAAAAAAATAAATTAGTCGAAAAACCTGAAGTTGAAATTCATGAACTTCAGGCAAACTAAGGCAACGCTGGTGTTTTGCACCTAATAAAAAGGCGAAAAACATCATTCTAAGTCATTATTTGTGTCCTGGACATCATGAACTGAAACATTATCCATGTGTGTACAACATTCAGATCATTCAGATTCAGATCAACACGCTGAGGTTTCGTTCTGTGCATGGTGCGCATGCGCGGTGTGTGTTTTTACAAACGTCTGTTTTGTTAGTTACTCATCCTTTGCTTTTCAACAAGGTCCAGTTTCCTGACCAATGCAGATAAGACCATCTGTGACACTGGCCGATGGCCCAGCGAGTCCTGGGTCAGGTCAGTTAACACGTACACACCTGATGATGCGCTGGGCGGCGTACTGGTGCAGGCAGCGGAACTGGGCTGACATGTTGGCCAGAGCTGCTAAGCAGTTTGTGTGCAGGTACTTATCCTGAGAAGAGAAGCAAAGAAAGCATTAACACAAACAATCTGCTCTGTCTACATTATAGAGCTGTCGTTACAAAACCACTTTCAGGACAAAGGCTACTGTCCTGGCCAATTTTGGTCCTCCAAGGTACAAACAATGTAAAAATACCTACAAATGTACAGACTTATGCACAAAGTGTGGGTCAAAATACGTGTTTTTAGAGAAAATAAGCACATCCTCTACAGAGAACATCATTCAAAAGCTGCAAATGTGCAAAAGTTAGTGGACATTCTATATTTTATGTTTTATTTTTTTCCTTTATCGTCGCTGTCCAATCAAAAACAAGTATCTGCAAAATGGTAAGTGATTTTTATTGGTCCACTCATCATGACATGTTCACACAACGTAAAGGAGAACCGCCATGTTCAAATGACGTAGAAAAATAATCGACAAAAATGGAGATGCATGTTTATCTTCAGACAATATGTTGAATTCAGCAAATAAACAGAAACTGTCCACTATAATTTGCAGCCTGACAGAGTGTTTGGAGTCAACGCAGCTTAAAATATATAACTGCAATGTAATACGACACAGATACAGATGACGTACCCTGGGGGGTAGCACTCTAGCACAGATGTTCCTGCAAGTACATATTTTCAAAGCCCTCCTTGTTTATCTTTAACCAATTAAGTATTTTTTAAATCCATGAAACGATGTGTATGGTTTTCTATTGCTCAGGTAATTTCTCATTTTAATTGTTTGGTCTTTTTTTAAAAACTCAGATTACTCAAAAGTCAAAATAATCATTTTCATACAAACACACAAAAACAAGTCACGATTTATTTTTTGACCTTCAGCTTTCCCTTAAGATACGGTGAGGAAAAAGGAGCATAAGCGAGTTGATCTTACCCTGGTCCTGGTCATGTTGAACTGAATAGTGCGAATGACCACCAGGATTAACAGACTGCCCAAAGAAATCTCTGTTAAAGCTCGCTCTGTATACCAGCTTATATTCTTCAGCATCTGAGAAGACAGAAAGAGAGAGAGCAAGAGAGAGAATTCAAAACAGTGCACCATTGCAATAATGCAATACTTTATTATTTATAAGGGGTCATTTTTTGTAAGGGGTAAATACAAATTCAACAGCATTTTATACACTGCAGCCACTTTAAAAAATCTACGGTCCATGGAAAAGCAATGGGCAGTAGAATGGGATGCTCTGGAGGAGCCACATCTGATCTAAAAGGATAATGCTAAAAGGAGCAAAGCAGTGTCCAAAATACTATATATATATATATAGTATATATAGTATTTTGGACACTATATATATATATATGTGTGTGTCAATGCTGTGCTAATGAGTGTTGGGCAGAGATTGGCTTTCATGGCACGCCAAGGCGAAAATATTCAGACGTATTGATCTGGGTGAATAAATAAATAAATAAGTAAGTAAAACAGTCGACCATGGAAAACACAGGAAACATACAGGATGAGTAGATTCTTAAAAAATACAAGTAAAAAATAATAAATTACGCCATTCGGATGAATTTTTAATGACTCTCTTATGTTTTTATCTGATTTACCCACAAGCCCCTGTAAGCTGGAGGCCGGTCTCATCAATATCGATGATGTAAGCATGCAGCTGCAGAGAAGGACTGAGCTGTAATGAGATCAGGTGAGGTAGTGAGTCAACGCTGCACAAAGTTTGTGAGATGTACACAAACTGTTCAGTATATCTCACAACCGAATCCTGTTTTGTTGATACGGGTGATACGGGGTCGAACCGGGTCGGCAGTCGTACACACCGAAAATCTATTTGCATACGCGATGGACAAAAATGCCTAGTAATAGCTCAGTCCATATTAAAGTGCGATAACCTTGTTATGGTGCACTCGGGCCAGCGTGTGTGGGTCAGAACAGGCTGCCGGCGCAAACTCTGTCACACTGACACGAGTACAAAATGAACTACTTTAACACAACAGACTGCTAGACCAAACACACAGCCGTGAGAGCTGCTGCTAGACACAAAGACACAGACAGACACACATACACACATACATGTAGCAGACAAACACACAAGCACACACACACACAATACAAGCACAGGATGTACCAACTATTTAATGGAAGGGGGGGATTCTGTTCTCAAATATTTTTCGGTCAAAAAAGGTTTGAAAGGGCAAAATCACTTTTTGGTTACCATGGTTACAATGGTGAAGGTTAGGTTTAAATTTAGAAAATTCTAATTAGATACAGACATGACATTATTACACATAGAAACACACACACATATACATTATCTCAAATATCTGAATATAATAATAAAAGCTCAAACCGTGTTTCACTTCAATAACGGCATAAAAGTTAGTATATATTATGGTTGCAAATATATACACACACAAACACACACGCACACACACACACACACACACACAAACACAAACACACGCATGCGCACGCACACACTGAGCACTTTATTAGGTACACCTACCTTGCATCTGCATTTATTGCTCAATTTATCAGCTCCACTTACCAAATAGGAGAACTCTGTTGTTCTACAGTTAGAGACTATAGTCCATCTATAGACTACAGACTACAATAATAGGCATATACTTTGTTAGCCCCCTTTCACTCGGTTCTTCAAAGGTCAGGACCCCTACAGGACCACCACAGACCAGACATTATTGGGGTGGTGGATCGTTCTCAACACATACACACGCGCACACACACACACACACATATATATAATATATATACACATGTATGTGTGGGTATATACGTATCCATAGTTTAAATACAAGTTTTGTTGATTTTCTAAGTGCAAATAAGTTAATGAGTTAACACGTCACCCACAAGAAACAAACTTTTAAAAGTAATGCTTTTTTTAGTTAACATACTTGAGAAATAACGTGCCATAACTTTTGCAAATGCCGCATTTTATGCTTTATTTTTTTCCCCAATATGTTACATTTAGCAAATAAACAGTAATTGTGCATTAAAATATGGAGAACTGTGATCTCTGTAGAGGACGTGTTCACTTAGAAAATAAAGGGTGTTCAAACTTTATATTTATGGGTCATTATTATTACAGAATTACATAATAAGTATGTGACATCCGTATGACCTCATGTTCTGACATTATATGGAAACAAACCTGTGTGCACACATGTACTAACCACTTCGTGTATGGAGCGGTTGAACGTGTCGTCCTCAGTGAGGATGAGGAGGATGATCAGGGCCATGTAAACATGGTGGGAATTTCTGTCTTCTACATGATAGAGTATCTCCAGAATTGGCATCACCTAGAAAGGGGGGAGAGAGAGAGAGAGAGAGAGAGAGAGAGAGAGAGAGAGAGAGAGAGAGAGAGAGAGAGAGAGAGATGTACTGAGAGTAGGAATGATGTGTTTACTGTTGCTTTTCACTGAGTAAAACCTGAAATAAAAATGCCTGCATGTGACTGTGGACATATTTTATAAGCAGGGGAAATGTTTTTATTTATTACTTTGAATTGCCAAGGTAAACAGCTTTTAAAATTCTGTAAATATTAGCCATATCTGTTGGGCGACACAAGCTGGAGTGTTAAATGGGTGTGTTTCGTTTTTGTTTAGTTAAATGTGACTTTACAATGGATTCATAAACGGTTGAAAACGACTTCATTAATGCTTATTAATTAGGTCAAACACCTTAAGCGGTTATAACACACAACAGTGACCTGTTGCTTGCCAAATAGTGAGCTCACATGCATCTACAGTCACGTGAAGAAGCAAGTACACCCCATTAAAAAGCTTAGACTTTTTCAGCATATCTGGACATACAGATATCCGGTCTTCATTTAAACAGTGTTTATAGACAAAGGTGGTTTAACTTAACCACTGACACTTTTTACGCCATCCTTTATATAACTGAAATAAACAGAAATGCAGTTTCCTTATGTGGAAAAAGTAAGTACACCCCTATATATCACTTCTTCAAATGTGTCACTTATAACACACGGGCACCTGATCAGGTGATAATGATCGGAACACTGTTAGAGAATATCTTGGAGGAACCTGTCTTATTTAAACCTCAGATATCTGGTCTAGTTTGCAGTTTGTCACCAGAGTGTGTGGTATCATCACACAAAATATTAGAAATCAATCTGTTCACTGTCCGGACGATCATTTACAAACAGGCTTGTCCAACTTGTCCAGCTCAGGCCCCCCAAGCAAAATTAACCCAAGAGCAGAGCTTAAGATGCTAAAAGAAGTCCTAAAGAACCCCAAACTTTTATCAGTGGATCTGTAAGTAGGTCTTGCCACTGAAGATGTCAAAGTGTATACATCCATCATCAGAACAACACAGCACAAAACTGACCTACATGGGAGGTGCGTCAGGAACAAGCGTATGTCGTCTAAAAAGAACATCAGGACAAGACTAAAGTTTGCTAATCAAGATCTCGGCATGGACCAGGACTTCTGGAATAACGTGCCATGGACTAGCGAGTCAAAGATAGAGTTGTTTGGCAACATTATGAGAAGCAATGTCTGGCAAAAACCAAAGACTGCATTTGAACCTTGTATCAACTGCAAAGCATGATGTTATGGTTTGAGGCTGCTTTGCTGGCCAACTTGCAATCACAGAATCAACTATGAATTCTCTCTCATACTAGAGAGTGCTTAAAAAGAAACTCAGATCATCTGGCAAAACGTTGAAGCTGAAGAAGTAGATCTTCCAACAGTATAAAGATACCAAACATACAAGTAAATCCAACAAGGAGTGGCTTGCAAGGAAGAAATAAAGGGTTGTGGAATGGCCTAGTCAAAGCCCAGATCTGAATCCCACTGAAATGCTGTGGGGGGTCTGCAATAGGCTGTACATGCAAGAAGCCCCTTAAATATTGCACAGCTGAAATAATTCTGCATGGACGAATGAGCATAAATTTCTCTTAGACAATTATAGGAAATGCCTACATAAAGTTCATTCTACCAAAAGAGGCAATACCAGTTACTCAAGGCAGGGGTGTACTTATTTTTTCAAAAGAAAAAAGAGATCTCAGATAATTTATTTCAAATAAATGACTGCAAAGTCAAATGACCTTTGTTTTTGGTCCTATTATGCAACATTAATCTCCACACTGTTTAGCTGATGTTATACTGTTATAGACATTATACTGTCAGATAGTGCTGGTTACTGATCTTACTTTGTCTTCTCCATCAGTCGGTAAAAAACCTGTCAGCTATATCAGATATCCAGAATCATCAGAAAGAACAGCTCACTGTTGTCCTTTTTATTTATGTGATAAAACTGCTTAGGATCTAACTAATAACCATTATAAAACTGACAGCTCCGTCCTAAAATCTGTTAGTCTAAGCCGCATTCAAAGGCATTGTAAAATCTACGATATACCGCACCTATGACGCCTCACAGCAACTGAATTGTATATCACTGCACCATGGCACAAAAAAACCTTGTGCTGTTAATGGGATAATATTTGAGTCTCATGCTGCTTACATGGACCACCGAGTGTACTGATGAAGTAAGAACCCATTTTTTGTTTCAATTAAGGGGCTGGCAACATCTGTTCTTAACTAGAACTAGGCTGGTCAGCCAGCTAACAGGCTAAAAGAGCCAATAGCCTAAAAAACTCCCTCAGTAATATCAGAGGCTTGAATTAAAGTACTTACGGTGTGATTAACTGTAGAACAGCAGAATAAAAGCCTAAAATGTCTCACATAGATTACACGCTTTAAATGTTAGTATTTCAGTCAGAAGTACTGTAAAACCCTGACTGAATCCCAAACGGCTGTGTATTCCCTAAACAGTGTGCTATGGAAGTTTAGAAATTCTAGCCTCTACAGCCAAATAGTGCATCATTTATCGAGTGTGGATGTGTCTGAGTCCCAAATGACTGTTTCTTAGCTGTATTTTGCTCTGCTGGGCTGCAGGATCCAGTATTTAAATTCCTACATAGTGCACTATGAAGGGAGCAGGGAGACATCTGAGATTCAGCCCCAGCACGAGAAGAGGGCCCCGCTGGATGGGTGCTAAATAAGACCGCGGTGGTAATTTGGCGAAAGCGAAGGTTTCTGCATTAAACAGTGTTGTGTTGCCGTATTTTCATTCTTATATGACAAAAAACTTCATTGAAAAAAAAAAAATCATAGAATGACCGCAATATATAGCGAAGAGCGACCAGAATGTTCTCCTCATGCAGCGGTCTATGGTTGCGTGGCAACGATACCGTACTCTAAAGGAACTACATTCCTTGGCGGAATACTTGTTTATGTTTAATATTATTAATTATAACTTATTTTCTGAAAAGTCGTGTATTTTATCATATTTTATGTTGGCCACCGTTTTATAAAAGCAATAAGCCACTTGAGGCTGGGTGTTACTGCGATCTTATCACAGGAAGGGAGTTTCACCCCTGTTTAACCCACGGCCTCTCGTGGCTTATTGCTCTATTAATAAACTAATTTTAACCGTTAATAATCCCTTTATAAGGATAGCTCTTACTGTAAAGTGGCACTATTTTTTCCTCTCCAAATATGGAAGCTACAGTGGAACCTACAGTGAAGCAGGCTAGTTGGTGAGTTAGTGGTTGTCAATCTTATAGCCCATTTAACCAGTAACCAGCACCCTCAACCAACCACCCCCCCCTAAAATGAGCAGATTCTCACCAGGTTCTCCATGTCTGTTCTAGAGAGCATGTAAGTCTTCATGTTGGGGTTTTGGTGCAGTAACGTGTAGAGCAGAAGAGTGGCCTGATCAGACCGCTGCTGCTCACAAAGCGCCGTGTACAGGCTGTTAAAATTAATCTGGAACGTGTGCGGCTGTGGAGATGGGATGGACGACGTATCTGAAACAAACACACACACATACCTTTAATGCATCCATGCAAAAAACAGTCTTCTTTATAAAGAGGTAAATCTTCTAAAGCATTAAATTTCAATGCCAGAATTAATTATTCAATTTTATAAAAGTATGCACTCAATGTTTTGGCCAAAATGAAATTCTCAAATTTATTATTAATATTGATGTTATTTTCAAACCAAATAAAATAAAATTCCCCAAACAAGCTTGATGTGTTTTATTCCCCTACCAACAAGCATCCACCCAAAGGCAAGGCTCCAATAATGCTATTGCTCAACGGTCTTGATTAGCTACTACATACAAACATGTTACCACTGTTGGAAAAGCTCCAAAGTGATAACTTATGATGAAGTTAATGCAACACATAGAAATGCTGTATCAAAACTAGCAAATAATTGCTTAAAAAAAGCCACAGACAACATTATGGATATTTCAAACCAATATTTGAAGAGGTGAATATTTAGATGATGCTGGACTGTTGTGCTAAAATTTCAGCATTTTATTCATTTTACTGCTTTTGTGACCTTTTATAGAGATTTTATATTTTTTTCTGTAATGCTAATCCAGCTGGATTTACTCCCAATATCTACATTTTATAAATGTTTATGCATCTGCATTAATATTGTCCTCGTACATGGAAAATAGATGTCGTCGCATCCCTAGTAACAAGATTTCTTTCTAATCAAAGACCTGTTACACTGTCAGCTACTGTTATCAAATGGCATAAAAATAAATGAAATAAGCAGGTGACGAAGACTAAATGATGACAGTAGATGACAGAATCCTGGCTGAGTATTCACTGCGGTTTACGCTGGCATTGCTCAGCTAGCACGAAAAAAAAGCACACAAAACTAATAAATCTGTCAACAGTACAATAATATCTTTAATTGCTTGTTTAAAGATACTATGGCAGTACAGATAACGCAGTCGGGAGACAACAAACGAACATTTAAACTAAATCAGGGTTGTGCTGTCAGATTTATTTTCTGTATATATGATATATGAGTACTTCATATGTCTTTTTCTTTATAAGATGGATATACTGATCATGAAACAGCAGATCTATTTGAGATGTTTTATCATAACAGCTGCTAGAGTACCTTGTGTATTTTTAAAGCAGGTGACAGCTTGCTTGTAAGGGTTTGGACAGTCCGGTCCATCTGTCAGATTGGCCAAGACCAGCAGCAATAAAAGGCTCTGATTGGACAAGGGTAGTGGGTTCTGTTCCTGGTCCACTCCAGATTTACTCCCAGCTCCTCCCAACGTGAACACGCTCCACAGTCCACCTGGATAAAAGACAGAAGATACAAGATATGAGATACAACATACGCCTAAAAGTATGTTGACACCTGCTCATTCTGAAATGAAGGGTATTAGTAGTTTGTCTTCCTTTGCTGCAGTAACGTCTACTCTTCTGAGATGGCGTTACACTAACATTGCTGTGAGGATCTGATTGAGCATTAGTGAGGTCAGGTACTGATGTTGGATGGTCAGTTCTGGATCTGGATCTCTAACTCATCCCAAAAGCAATGGATAGAGCTCCATCACCCCAAAGAACATAGTTCCACTGCTCCACAGCCCAATGCTGGGGGGCTTTATATCCCTCTAGTCAACACTTGACATTAGGAATGGTGACCTTAAGCTCATGTGCAGCTGCTCCAGAGCATCCCATTATATTGGTCAGTGCTTTTCAATGGAGAGAATACAAACTGTGTGTGCAACTAAACACCTCTGTCAGCAATGGGTGCCCCTTTAAGGGTCCATATCATCCATCCATCCATCCATCATCTAAACCGCTTATCCTTCTGGGTCGCGGAGCCCATCCCAGCCGCCATCGGGCGGAAGGCGGGTCCATATCATGGAAAACCAAATTTACCTCAATTTTTATATAAAAGAGCTTTATGTAGTATAAAAACATTGCTACATGTTTTAAATCATACCATTTACTCCTCAATCCATACAGTCCATACGTGGAAATTAAGCTGCAAAAACAGCCCGTTTTGAATTAACTGTTTTTTTTTTATTATTTCATTTCGTCCACTTGGAATTAAAAGGTTCTGTTTGACATTTTTGTCAAAACTGAATTATTCACATATTCTGCAATAACTTCTTAACATTACGCGAAGTGTTTTTTTGAGTTGTCTGCATTTTTGGACTCTTTATCTAGAAAACAATAAAGGTTCCATCTCCAAAGTCTCCAAACTCTAACTTAGTTCTATTAGGTTCTATCTGTGAGCCAATCAGGACTAATCAGGTTCTGCTTCTATGTCATGTCGCCGCTGTGCTCACTGACTGTGGCACAAGTTTTAAAACGTTTTTAAATATGAAAACATGTTGCTGAAACTCTGCCTGCCTTTATGCAGTTCTTAAAAAAAGTCTTATTGTTTTAAATTTTACAGATGTTTACTATTTAATCACCTTTAAGGCATAACATTTGAATTGATTGGGTTCAATCTAATTACAACATAAACTTTCATTTCATTTATTCATCCATCTTTTCTTTTTCTTCTTTCTCCCAAAATAAGACATTTTATTGCATTAGAGTCACATTTCTGATACAAAACAAAACCTTATACTGCCTTTAGACTGACCTGCTACACTGACTCGCTGGGACAGTTTATTACAGTAGCTACTGTCTGACTAAAGAAAACTTTAATGGTTTCTGCCTAAAACTGACCTCTGGACTGGACAAAATATTTAGCACTGACCTAATCTGTCATGCTTTCTTTAACAGGAAAAGATTATTTGTCCTAAAACAAGAAATAAATGTCATATAAAATAAATAAATAATAAAAATAAGTCATAGAAAGCATTGCATTTAACGTTCTGATAATGTACACACTCTGCTACAACACTCATTTTATGTTTTAAAATAAATTACAGTAAACTGTTTGTCTTCCTTTAAAATCATTGTTTCTTTTAACGTTTTGCCAGATAGAACCTTATAACTCCAAGCAGAAAGTGAGTTCTTAGGATCAGAAGCTTCTATCTGCATTTGACCTGTTCCAAAAAACTCACTTACAAATCTGATAGGATTCTGATACTGTACATTTAGAATACATTCAGGGTGTCTGTCACTGTCTTGTATGAAAGAGACGTGTTCCACATATCAGTTCTGCTATTTGCTCAATATCTCAAAACTGCTCAGAACACAGACAGAACCTTAAAACTCCAAGGGGACGATATGCCCATTCAATAAAGTTATAAGCAGTCTTCCAACCTAGACAGCTTTTTATAATGAGGTAAAACAGGGCAGCCAATCAGATCTGTTGTATTTACATACATCAGTCTTAAATGAAAGCAACAAAAAAGCCTGTTAAATTCTAAGGGATTGAGAGGTTGAAATATGACATAAAAGTACATCAAGAAAAACAGTACAACACAAAAAAATATCCAGATATGGACCCTTTGAAGTAGCTAATTAACTAATAAAAAGGGCTGTTTGGATATCTTTGGATATACAGTGTATCGACAGCACTAAAAATCAACTATGACTCAATTTAAGGACATAATTTCCCCAACGTATTCAAAATCAAAGAGAGCGTGACCTAAAATAGTTTTGTATTGTAACTGTCTAAGAACATATTTCGCATACAGAACCTATTAGAAATAATATAACAGCCATAGACTGCCATGCCTAAAACACTGCTTGCACAATAATTAGTCACTGGAAAACGCAGCCGAAGGCAAGAAAAGAGCTACTGAAGCACATGATGTTCAAATAATCTCCAGGAAGTCACAGTCATGCTGGAGGCCAGGACACAAGGACATCAGAACGCGAGTGAACATTTTATGCGTCCTAATGGGGGATTCCGGCCCTACATCAGTGACATCACAGCCCTCTTCTTCTTTCTTCTCTAAAAAGCCTCAGGTTGAAGGTTATTGTGTAGTTGATGGAAGCCCAGACTCTGACTCAAGGCCGGATGGCGCATCATTTCTTTTTTTGGCTCGGCTCACCATCTATTCTGACAGTGACAAGAACTCTAATAGCCGCTGGCTAATGCATGTAGTAGGGGTTTTTTTTGTCATGAACTGTCTAAGCAAGCCAATTTAGTTATTTAGTACATACTATATGTGAACTTTAAAAATGCATTCAAAGGAAAATAGATGGGTTTGTTCACTAAAACTCTAATGAACTCTATTCTCTCTCTGGCCCTCAGGAATGCAAGTATTTCACAACGTGGTGTCCAACTGGAAGCAATGTTGAAACTAAATTAAAACAGAAACTGACTTCTTTCAATATTGCCTTAAAATGGAATACATGGTCAGGTATCAATCTGATCAATCTGTTTCATTTGTACATCTTTAAAGGGCAGATACGGTATCGAACATTTTCTTATCTTTTTTAAAATAATAGCGCGACAACGTTTTAGGGCCACTGTTAAAAAAATAAATAAATAACAGACTTCGACAATAATGTTGTAATATTTCGAAAATTAAGTCGTATTTCTTGGAATACAATCGTAATATTTTGAGAATAAAGTCATAATATTTGGATAATAAAGCCACTGCAAGAATAAACAAGGATAAAGTGGGCTTATCGGCTGCTGTACTGGCGATGACGAAGACACCGGCCGTGCCGGAGCTCCACTCACCCCACTGTGATTGATCGTTTTGATTATCATTCTCATTGTCTCCTGTCAAACTACATGCCCTCTTTGAATGGCACAGAGATGTAACCACCGGTAGCTGTGTAGACGACACTGCCTGCGATTCTCCTTCAATAACAGAGACAGTTTCCTCAGAGTCAGTCTGGTTCTTTATTCTAAATAAGCACAGTTTCCAGCACAGCCGTTTCAGCGTTCTTATACTATAACAATCTGGCGATGGTGTGTCAGGAGAGACAGGGAGACTGGAGTATTTCTTTATGGGTGAAATTGATATGAAGGTATAACTTCACCAACTTCTCAATGTCCCTCATTTTAACATGAGGAGGTGCTACCTTCCTTTTGCAAACCCTTTGGCCACAATATTATGACTTTTCCTGGTATTAATGCCACTTTAATGCCGTATATTACGACTTCATTCTCAAAATATTACGACTTTATTCCTGAAGTCTCCTATTATTTTTTTTTTGTTTTTTTTTAACAGGGGCCCTAAAACGCCGTCGTATAATAGAGTTTGATGTGGTATATAAATACTGCTTAAGTTTCAAGATGTACCGTTCACCCCACAGTCCACACCGTCCATATATGGAAACTAAACTGCAAAAACAGCCTGTTTTAAATTCACTGTTTATGTGACACATTTACATATATCTGCCTATTCAGGCTATAGCAGTGTAGCTCCGCCCATTCACTGTGAAGTTATAAGGAGTGTTTCAGACCGCTTTTTGAATGAGGCAGAACACAGGGCAGTCAATCAGAACAGAGCTATCAATCAGTCTTAAAGGCACGGCAACTAAAACAGCATGTTTAACGGATAAAGAGTTTGGAAAATGGTCATATAAAAATGAATTGTGACAGTTTTTAATCCAAAAAACTATTTTAAATGTAACAAAATTTTAGTCCAAATAATTGTAGACAATTGTTTTTTGGCTCAAGAGTTACAAAGTTTTGATATGATATTTTGGATATTAAAATTAAAGCGTTTATTTATTTCCTGCATTTGGATCTGGATCGAGTAGGGACTTAACTGACACCATCCATTTTTGGTTAATTAAGAATTGCCCACTAAAACTACAGTTATAATAATAATAATAATAATAATAATAATAATAATACGCCGCTGTAGAGAAAGGATCACTGCACGAGAGATTCATCTCAACCTCTGGCCAAGGTCTGTGCATCTTTACCCCCATCTAGAGGACAGAGCGTCAGCTCATTTTCAGACGGCAGCGCCAGGGCCGGGTCAGTTCAAACGTCTTCTAAGACCTTGACCTGTCAGGTTTTTACAGGCCGCTCATTCTGTCAGGAGCAGCTCGTTCTCTCATAACCGATGGAGAGTAATCGATCTGACTCGAATCGGCCGCACATCAAAAGCGCGTCGGCTCCAGAGCACATCCATCTAGCGTTCGGCCATGAAGCGAGGATTACAGAGAGAATACTGTGCCAAGAGGACGCGAGACAGAGAGAGCATTGTGCGTTAGCGAGCGCGCGAGCCGCATACTGACTGTGCACAGACTACTTGACTATAAAGAATTTATCTCCCACAGTTATGGTCAGTCCAATACAAAATGAAGCACTTGAGTGACCTCTGTTGTGTGTGCGGCAGGCAGAGCTGGGACGTCTGTCTCCACTGCTAATGACTTGTGGCTGGACACCGTGGCCCCACTGGAATGCACTGA